TGGAGCTAATCCACTGGAATCATTTTCCAATGGAGGAGGCCCAGGCACAGGGTGGTGGGAGTACTTTCTTTATGAATAGTCACTGTCTTTATTGTAAATTCCCTGTGAAGCCACAGTGCTCCCTTTCTATGGTGGGATTCATCACAAAATCTCCAGCAGGGTATCAATCATTTACTGAGCACATTTACCCCTCTGCATTGGTATATTGGATGACTCCCTCCAGCATCGTGTGATTCTGGCAAGAAAGTAATCAAAATCAATACCCATACTCTCTCAACCAGGTCTTTGTATAAACATAGAAGTCTGCACCCCAGCAATTATCTTCTTTTGTAAACAGTTTCTCAGTGTTACTGTCTTGGGAAAGGGACCTCAAATGAGACATTCACAGATGCCCAAGGACAAGAATTACAGCATGTCTGAAGTCGTTGAGCCCTCGGAGAGTTAGAGAACAAGAGTGTTAGGGATTCACTCTGCCAGCCGATAGGAAGTGCTGTCCCAAGCTAACCTGGCATTAACCACAAATCAAATCCTTAAACCTTTGTGCTTAGTTTTACCTTAGTCTATTGTAGGAAGAGAAATGCTGCTTGGATTTTATCCTGAGAGCCAGCATAGAGTGTAATCCTTAGAGCCAAAAAGGCTTTCGGCCAGCTATCCTCTGGCGAAAGTGCTAACGCGAACCAAACAGCGGTTTCTTCCCTTGTTTGTTTACAAACGTTGCCTAGTTACCCGACACTTCCTTTGCCTTCTGGAGAAAAGCCGCACACTGAGAAGAAAGATGATTCTTGCCTTGCTCATGATTTTCACTGATTATAGCTTACTTACCTAGTTAGTCAAGATAACAGCGAAAGCATACATATTCCCTCCTTAGTTTTTAGTTTTCCCAAATGACTCTCTCTCTCTCTCTCTCTCTCTCTCTCTCTCTCTCTCTCTCCTTTCTCTCCTTTCTCTCCTTTCTCTCCTTTCTCTCCTTTCTCTCCTTTCTCTCCTTTCCCTTTAAGAAATTCTTGGAAGCTTAAACCACACAGAAAGGGTAACGGTTCCTGCTTTGTGTAAAAATTGTATCTGTTTCTACGACCCTGAAAAACTCTAGCCCTGCACTTGGCTAGAGCTGGAGAATTGCTGATTGTAAGTGTATATAGCTGCAAACTTTTGCAGCACAGCAGAACAATAAGGAGCACAAGTATAGAAAGAATGTGTGAGAGAGACGGTTCCTTTTCCACAGCCCCCAGACAGATGGGATGCTTATTGCAGCTTCTCTTTTTGTACCCTGAGTGAAAGCATTAAGGTCCAGGCAGATAGGAGCACAAGGAACACACACGGTACACAGGCATACATGCAGACAACCCCCACCCCCACCCCGAGAAAGGAAAGGACATTAGTTCCCCAAGGTGGATTTTCTTGGTTTTCCAACATGGATTTGTCATTGATTCCTTAATTGCAATAAGTGGATGTTTGTCATTGTTTCCACAGGAATAGTGCCACAAGGATTAGTTTTGTAACTGTGTCGCACAGTAGGATTTTTATCATTTATCCATTATTCCTGTATTTTTTGAGAATGTCTACACTGCTTTAAAAATTCAGTTCTAGCTGGGCGTTGGTGGCGCACGCCTTTAATCCCAGCACTCGGTAGGCAGAGGCAGGGGGATCTCTGTGAGTTCGAGGTCAGCCTGGTCTCCAGAGCGAGTGACAGGTTAGGCTCCAAAGCTACACAGAGAAACCCTGTCTCGAAAAACCAAAAAATAAAAAATAAAAATAAAAATTCAGTTCTCTAGTTCTCCCTCACACAGAAGTGTATGGCCTCTGTTTGTCATACGTTAGATATCATTTCGATTCATGATATCCATTCTAACTAGAGCAAAATGGACTCTCTGTGGTGCCCTAGTCTGAATTTCTGAATTTTGTCATTTGTTTTGGTTTAATTTTTGGTATACTGTTGTTGTTCTTTGTGTATTTGTTTTTGTTTTGCTTTGCTTTACTTGTTCTTACTTTTGAAATTTTTGAGATCGTAATATCATTACAACATGTCTCCTTTCCCTTTCCTCCTATTGTATCATCCTACATACACATCCCTGATCTCTCTCAAATTCATGGCCTCCTTTTCATTGTTATTGAATACATATGCCTATCTGCATATGCATATATATTCCTAAATATGACCTGCACAGTCCATGCGCTCTTACTTGTATTTATGTCTTCAAGGACGGCCTTGATATGGGATAACCAATGGATTTGCCTTTTCCCAGGGAAATTGATTTCTCCTGCTCCAGCACTCACCAGTTGCCTGCAGTATTCTGTGCAGGTCTGAGGCATTGTGGGATTATCTCCATCCACTTTGGCATGTCCATTGTTGTCATCCTTGCTCAGGTCACGATTGTGTGGTCATGTTGGTGACATTTTATTGTAGTTTCTGGCATTTCTGGGAAACACAACCTCAAAGCAAACTCCCTGATCCTCTGGCTCTTACAGCTTTTCTATCCCATCATCAAATATAACCCTTGAGCCTTAGGTGCAGGAGTGTATTGTAGATGTATCCACTAGACCCTCCCTGGACAAGAATTAGTTGATTGGTTTTGTTGTTGCTGTTGTGGTTGTTTTTTGTTTTGTTTTTTTGTTTTGTTTTTTTTGTAGTGGTCTCTGTTGCAAAGAGACGTTTCTTTGATGAGGGTTGAAGACAAGGCTTATTTGTGGCTAGAGGAAAGATATCTAGATTATTGTTATGGATTATGCTGGTTTACTAGAGTGGTGTTTGTTGGTTGTCCTCTCAGATTAATGATTTCACCAGCACTGAGTAGTTCCCTAGGTTTCCAGTACCAGCCACGGTTTCTCTTTGGTTAAGTGTGTCTTAAATAAAACTAGAGAGCTGTCGGTTACCACCAAGGTGTGGTTGCCAATAGTGTACCATGAGTGTTATTGTGTCTTGATGATCACTCATGTGGTTCTAAGGCAACAAAGCTGGTTAGGATGGTTCATGGGATCACTCCTTTGAAAGCTTGCATGGTACTTCCAGTACCATAAAAACCATTTGGCAGGGGTAGTATTCTTTGTTTTCAGACAGGCTCTTTTTGTGTATTGCCAGCTGTCCTAACTCACTATGTAGATCAGTCTGGTCTGGTACTCGGAGTTCTCTGTTCTTCTGCTCCTTGATCTCTGTGTTTAAAGACTTGCATGATCTTGCAACCATACATAACTTTTTCTTATCCTGTCTTGACAACTACCCAAAGTAACTGAATTGCCTAGTTGATAGAAATGAGCAATCAAGTGGATCTCTTGTCTCCTGACAGTAAAGAACTCTGTTCCACTGAATTGGAAACTCTTAACTGAAATAGACGAGTTTCCAGGTGCATATAACATACTGTATTTAAACCACATTGTACAAATAATGTGAACACAGCTACAAGTAGCAATGAGACTGAAGAAGTAATAAAATAGTCCCCTAAAAACAACCCCAGGATCCAATAAACAGCATTCTTTCAAAAGTTCAAAGAAGAACTAACATCAAAGCTACTGGAAATATTTCTTGACACAAAAAAGAAGACTTCCTAACTATTAGTATTAACTGATATTAAACCAGTTACTGATACAACCAAAAAGAAATTGCAGACTGTTGTGAACATTTAAAAAAAATTGTTATTATGAGCTATTAAACACACACACACACACACACACACACACACACACACAGAGAGAGAGAGAGAGAGAGAGAGAGAGAGAGAGAGAGAGAGACTTAACTCAAATACTGCCCACTCTCCCCTGCTACTCTTCTTCTACTATCCTGGTCCACAAACACAAGGAACCTCTATTGTGCTCATTTCTATTCCTTTTGCCTCGAGACCCACTGACATTAATCAGTGCCATCTGTGAGATTGTGAACTTGGACCTATGTGTTGGAGCCTGCTGGGTTGAGCAGAGGACTGCAGCTAAAGGCAGTGATTGTCCTCCTACAATCCATCCATAGACGACATCTGAGAGGTAAAGAATGGGCTCTGTGAGCCTTTCCCTTTCCTAGACTGACTATGGTCTACTGTGAGGTCAATGCAGGTCAGTACAGCTGCTGTTGGTTACTGATTACAGCAGCTGTATGGAGTCTAGAGAATGGCAGGTCTCAGCCCCTCCTCCTCTTTCCCTTCTTAGTCCCTTTCCTCCCCCTCTTCCTCAGTGTTCCCTTTAACTGGCATTCTTAGGCCTGGGACCACATACCTTACTTATTTTCTGCATCTGGGACAGCAGGAGTCTCCGAATTCAGCATTGCGTTTTCAAAATTGTATTATTTATTTTATGTTTTACCTAAAACCTTAAGCCTGAGTCAGAGAAGCCAAACTTGTTTGAATCAGGAAAATGACAAGAACCCCATCTAGTGGCAAGAGCCTTACAGCGTGGGATGAACTCAGCCCTGGGCTGTGAACAATGGGCTGACCACTGATTTCTTGAGATTTCAAAATCCAAGTTCCTGAAATGTCTCTTCCCCAAGGCACAGTTGCAGTGTTTGGTTTTGGCTTCTCATGATTGTGTTGGCGATGGGACGGTGGCATCTGAATTTAGCCTGTGATCCTTTTGCTGTAAGTATGTAGCCCGGGAGGCTGGTTGTCAAGTCGAGGTTGGGCTGCCTGTCTTTTCTCTGAGGGTCTCAGAACTCACTATGGGGTCAGATACCGGGGTGCAGCGTCCTTCTGGCTGCAGCTCTGGTCTAGGCTGCAGCAAGCGTGTGCGGAGCCTGTGCAGAGTGGGTCCAGGGCGGCCTGACAGCAGAGCTGGGTGCAAGGCAGCCAAAGATGCAGGGGGAGGGACGGTTCCCCGACGGGGTGGGGACACTAAACCGGAAACCGGAGCTGGAAGGATTTGGCCCATTGGCTGGGTTTATGGAAGAGTGGGAGGGTTTAGAGCAGTGATGTAAACGGACGCTGGGACACAAAGTGAGCGCCGGGAAGTTGGAGATGGACCGAGTTCCCTGTCGTTGCTCGGGGTCCTGCACGGTGGGAGCCGCGCGCTGCAGACCCGGGTGCGGAGGACGCGGCGGGTCCGCGGGGACCTGAGACCTCGGGATCCGCGGTGTCCGCGCTCGCGGGGCGGCCTGGGAAAGTCAGCAGTCAGCAGCGCAGTGGCGGGAACCGCAGCCCGGCGGCCCTGGAAGCTCCCAGGTCAGAGGAGCTGCGGGGCTGGGACCCGGGAGGGAGGAGCGGGGGTGCGAGCGGTTTCTCTGGTGCTCATCAGGAAGCCAGCGCCCAAATTCTGCTGTGCATGTCTTTCCCTTGGTGTATTTTAGATACTTTATTTTTTCAATTGATGTACTGATTGCCAAAATGTTCTTGTAAAAATAATCTAATAGGATGTTTCAACTTATATGTTGAGATTTGCAAGCACGATTCTCTCTGCTGTGGTGGAAACGACAAAGCTCTTGAAATTTACAATCATCCATACTAATTTCCGTGTTAGAAACTTCCATATCCAAGAGAGTGGCACATGGAAACGGAGACTTGGATTCGCCAAAGCTTTCAGATAATAGTCATGAAAATAACGCATGCAAATTTCAATGGATCTAAAAGTATGTTTTTGTGTGAGTTCAACCGTTTACTTGTGCACATTAACTTTTAAAAGTAGCTTTTTATCCACAATTAATTTTCCAACTGATACATATGCACAGGGGGATGTAAATACAACATTTTAAACCGTGTCTTTGCCAGGCCTGGTGGTACAGGCCTTTAACCTGAAGGCAAAGCCAGGTGGATCCGTTGGAGGCTGTCAAGGTGTTCATAGTGACTTCAAGGACAGCCAGCACTATGCAGAAAAAAAACCCTGTTTGAGGGGAATGTAGATAAGGAAAAAGAAATGTAAATTCATTATAACATAGAATATTATTTTAAAGCATCTTTTGAATAATCATGATAACTCACC